CCGGGTCTCGAGTAGAGGTGGATGTGGATCCTATCCGTTGGCCGGCGTGGGCGGGCAGCTGTCCAGATTCACCCGAGCGACGGAAGAGACGGGGCCGACGTCGCCGAGGTTCGCGCGTACGCTGCCCGCGCAAGGTCGCGCGTAGGCGCCCTCGTTTTCAACGCAGCGTTTCGCGCTGGCGGCCCTCGTAAGCCGCGGCGTCATGTCGTTGTGTCGTCTCGCGTAAGTCGTGTATTGCCATAGCTCTGGTTAGGGGGAGCAGGTCAGTGATTGGGTCCCGGAGCCCAACATACGAAGTGGAATCACTGGACCAGGTCAGGCGTAGCTGGTTTTTCTTCGTGTGGCGGCAGTTCCGGTTCGAGGAGTGTGGCGGGGGGGATGTCCCCCGGTACCCATCATCAAGCCAGGTCCCACTAAAACCAGTCCCTCACCATTCATCAAACTTCACCACCCCAACCCGAAGGCCCCCATTTGCCCTCCATTCCCAGTGTGTTGGGGGGGGGGCGGGGAACATCGGAAGACACAAATGGAACCCGTACCCCCCCAACCCGGAATTCGGGTCTTCGGGTTCGGTTGGGATGGTTTGCCAGGTTTAGTCAGGCCCGCCAAGGCCCGAGCAGGACAAGTTTTGCCTCGTCGCCCCCCCGTCGCTGGATCCAGGGCTGGACCCAAGCGCTGTTTTGCCGAACTCCGGCTGTGCTCGGTTTGTCGTTTCGGCAGGGAGGGGCAAAGGAGAGAGCAAGCAGAGCAGAACGAACCACAAAACAAAAAACGACGTTTGGGTCCAGCCCTGGCTCTAAGTCGGGCCTGTCCCGCTACATGGGGGAATCTTCCGAAATAGTCAAGACATGGTCCGGGGACGAGAGGTCTTGTTTTTTTTCAGTTTGGGGCATGTTTCATGTTTGGCCCAGCGTCCGCCTGTAGGAGGACACGCCCGACCTAGGTTTGGGCCCAGCCCTGGTGTGTTTTGTATGTGCTTGTTTGTTTTTGTTTCCCACCGTGTTTGAGTTGTTGTTGTTGTTGTTGTTGTTGTTGTTGTTGTTGTTGTTGTTGGTGTTGTTGTTGTTGTTGTTGTTGTTGTTGTTGTTGTTGTTGTTGTTGTTGTTGTTGTTGTTGTTGTTGTTGTTGTGTGTGTGTGTGTGTGTTTTTGTGTGTTTTTGTGTTTGTGTGTGTGTGTGTTTTTCCCACGTGTGTGTGTGTGTGTGTGTGCTTTTTTTGTTGTGTGTGTGTGTTTTCACACGGCTGGCTCCCGACGCCTGCAGCCTCGGGCGCGCGGCGCCTCGCCCGAGAGTGGACGTGCGCACATACCCCCCCCCCCGGCGGCGCACCCCGCCAGGGCCTCGGCGGCGCGGCCCGGCAGGCGCGGGGGCGGCGCCGAAGAGGGCGCGCCTCGATGGGCCACGGTCGGGGGCCTCCTCCCCCTCCTCTCCTCCTCCTCCTCCTCCTCCTCCTCCTCCTCCGCCTCCGAATCCTCCTCTCCTCCTCCTCCTCCTCCTCCTCCTCCTCCTCCTCCTGCTCCTCCTCCTCCGTCTCCTCCTCCTCCTCCTCTTCCTCCTCCTCCTCCTCCCCCTCCTCTAGTGCCATCTCGGCTCAAGATCGTCGTCGCACGCCCCCGCCGCCGTCGTTCCAATGCCTGGTGCGCAGGACGCCCTCCGCGGCGCGCTCCTGGCGACGCACGCTGCTGCTGGGCTGACGGGCGAGTGCCGCGAGGCCCAGTCCAAATGTATCTGCTCGCCCCATTGGACCGCTGGACGGATCAGTTCAGTGCCGTGATGCTGGCCATGTTCGTCGATGATATCTTGCTGCAGCGCCGCGGCCCCAGCATCAGCTTTGTAGTCACGCAGCTCAACACGGCTGCGCGTGCGCTGGCCAGCGCCATCGTTTCAGAGTTCAAATGCCAGTTTGCCAGCCAGAAGAGGATGGGTGAATTCCAGGAAACTCGGAGGGCGGATCCGTGAGATGCGCAGGCGGCTGGGCCGCGTTCGGATGCTCAAGCACGCTGGGGGGAACGCCAAGGAACTTTATCAGGCAGGTCCGGCTGGGCCGCTCGTTGTGTTTTTCTTCGCGGCGCGAGGGTGTGCGTGCTGGCCAGAGTCCCCCTACTGGCGCGCGGAGCGCGCCAAGGGGTCAGAGGATTCCCCAAGGGGGCTGCGCCAGAGGCGCCGCCAGGGGTGCCCAGCGCCGATCCAAGAGTTCCGCGAGGATCTCCGGACGTTTCTATTTTCATGCCGCGGTCTGCCCCGACAGGTCTGGCTGAGCTGCTGCCACCACGTTCGGAGCTGAAGTCGCTGGCATTAACAAACACCACGTTTGAGCAAGCCTGGACCCCGTACCCTGCCGCTGCTGGGCCGCGGTGTCCCTCGCGCGGAAGGTCGCTCTCGCTCCTCCTCCTTCCTCCTCCTGCTCCTCCTCCTCCTCCTCCTCCCTCCTCCTCCTCCCCTCCTCCTGCTACTCATCCTACTCCTCCTCCGCCTCCTCCTCCTCCAGGACCCCTTTGGAAACTTGGTGTATAAGAATTTGCATTGCACAGTTTGTTTGCATTTGGCTGGCCACCGCCCAACCCCGCCCCTGGCTCAACATCCAATCCCTCAAGCAATGGGGTGACAGTCTGGTTAACCAGAATATCAAGTCGTGGGGTTCGGTTCGAGGGCCCATGGGGGCCGCCATCCTTTCCTTGAAACGAATTGGCTGGAGTTGCAAAGGCCCATTTATGTTCGTGACCTCCGAAGGAATTGTGTACTCCTCCCAGGACATTCCTCAGCCTTCCCCCAGTCGCTGACGCATGTCGCCCGGCGCGAGCAGCTCGTGACCAAGGCGGCGAGCAAGCTCGGATATCCGCAAGGCCAGCTCAATGTATCTGCTGCGTGGCGAATTCTCCGCAGCCCGCAGCTGACTGGGAGTCAGAAGGGACCCTTACTTGCATGCCTCACGCAGAGTGCGTGGACCATGGAGAGGGCTGCCAGCGCTGGTTATGATGTGCCCCTTGGATGTGTCTGTGGCCACCATGCGGATTCTCTTGGGCATCGTTTGCTTAGCTGTCCACAGACGGCTAACCATCGTGATTCTCACTTCTCAGAGGAAGAGATGGACGGGTTGCGCCAAATCGATATCACCTGCTCTCCCTTCCTGTTGGGTTTCCAGATGGCCCCTCATTTTGACTGTGAGGCCCCCGCGGGCTCGGGATATGAGCAGGGAACCTACTGGCGCGTTAACCCTGAGAGCTCGCCTGAGGAAGCGTTTAGTCAAGGGGCGATTTTCATAGACGGCAATTGCGCGGATAGAGGCCACTATAACTTTAATTCGGCAGGCTTCGCCATTATATGTATGAGGCACGAGCAAGTGCACGCTCATTTCAGTGGCAGGGCTGGCGCCATGTATTCCCAAACCTCAGGAGCCGCGGAGCAGCTCGTTGCCCTCTTTGCGGGTCGAATGTCCACGGATCTCACTGTAGTCTATTCTGATTATAGAACGGTAATTAAGTTGCACGGCGGCAAATAATATCCTAGAACCAACAAGTGGGCGGGGCTTAAAGTCCTGGCGGGAAACGGTATGTGTGGCCTGGGGCACTTGCTTCGCAAGGTGAAAGCCCACCTTGATACCCTCGCCCTTCCTGCTGGCAGCACCGCTAGAAGATTAGCCGAAGGCAACGATGCCGCGGACTTTCTCGCCAAGGACGCCGCCCACCGTGGATGCCAGCCTGGCCAATCGGAAGTGACCGCATATGTGGCTGAGCAAACCTTTTCAAGAAATTCCTGTTGTACGTGCCGTTGGGCCTGGCCGAATTCCCTGCAATCGCTCCGCGACGCAAGAAACATGTGTCTTTAACGAAAAGCCAGTCGCCCCCGTCGGGGGCAGCTGCTGCCCAGTCTGCGTGGGACCCCGCCGTCGCCGGAAGGTTGGACCCTGCGGGGGACCCTCCCCCTGCTCCCTCTGAGCCCTCCTCCTTATCGGGCGGGTTCCACATTTTTGTTGAACCGGCAGGCAGATGGGTTTGCACAATTTGTCGTTGTTGGGTCAGAACGCACCACCAGTTGCGGGCTATGCAGCAGAAGGTGTGTCCTGGCCTCTGTGAGCAACTCTCGGACTTAGTCGCAGACCCCAAAGGCCACGACAGTCGACCATCCAACTATGGGCGACTGTCGACCAGCCAACTAGTCTATTGGTTTGCCATAGGTGTGGATCGTTTGCCGAATTTGGAGGTCGAGGGCTGTCTGCCCAGTGTGATAGGGCTGTTTCCAGTAGCGGTCGAGCCTCCCGGCTTGCCTGTGTCATCGAAGGTAGACGCCCCGCAGCACCAAGAAGGATCCTATAGTCTTCCGTGTGCCTGCCACTCCCCTCCAGCAGCTGCTCAAAGAAGAAGCTGCCAAAGTTGGAAAGAGAGAGAGAGAGAGAGATGATTCAGCCCCTACCATTCGCTAGTGGGAAGGACAGGTCCCTTCGAGGGCCGCGGATCTGCAGTCCGTCTTCTGCTGTCTCAGCGTTTCTGCTGTGAACGAACTCATCCCGAAGCCATCGGTCGGTCCTCCTCCTCCTCCTCCTCCTCCTCCTCCTCCTCCTCCTCCTCCTCCTCCTCCTCTTCCTCTCCTCCCCTCCTCCCTCCTGCTCCTCCTCCTCCTCCTCCTCCTCCTCCTCCTCCTCCTCCTCCTCCGCCGCCTCCTGCTCGTCCTCCTCCTCCTCCTCCCCCTCCTCCTCCGCCTCCCCCTCCTCCTCCGCCTTCCGCTCCCATGCCCCCCCGCGCCCGCCTCGTGGGCGCCGCCGCAGGCGTGCACGCGGCCGAACGAGATGACGTTTTGCCCCCTGGGCGCGGTCACCGGCGCGACCTGCCTCGCGGCGACGCGGGGGCGCCCAGGAGTCCCAGAGGCGCACGCGAACATACATTTTTAGCGCTCCGCGCCGGATTTCTTGGATCCGAGCCTGGGCCCCCCGGCGGCGCCTCCGGCGCCGCCCTTGGCGCGCTCCGCGCGCCAGGGAGGGGGGGGGTCCAGCGCGAATCCAAGACATTCGCGCGGAGCGCAAAAAGGTTATGGTCATGTGTTTTTGTTTATCTTCTAGACTAGGGGGGGGGGGACGGATATCACGGCGTGGGCCACGATATTTCCCCAGATTTCATGGCGCCTCTTCTTGCTCCGTTGCGTCCCTGGCCTCCCCCCCTGGGGCCGCGCACGTGCCGCTGGCCGTGCTTTGCGCCCCCCCCCGTCTTGGACGCCCTCCTCTTCGGCCGCCCCCGAGACACGGGGGCGCCCAGGCGCCCCAGAGGGGGGCGAAATCTATGCCTCCTGGATGGGGTCGGAGCAGATGGTCGGGCGATCGCAAGCATGGATTACGGGGGCGTGGATTAGCGACGGGTCCCCTTTCCATTGGAAATCGCGGATGTCCGCCGCCGAACGAGGCGGCGAGGCGGCACCGGCCGCATCTGGGAGGGCACCTCCCCCGATCCATGGATTTGGCGACCGCGCGCCAAATCCATGGATCGTTAATCCATGTGTGCGCGCCCCCGATCGGAGTAGATGGGGTCGGAGGATCGCGCCGCGTCGCCGACGCATCGCTGGTGCGGCTCGATATGCAGCCCGATCTGCTTCACGTCGACGTCGCCGACGCACCGTCGACGTCGACGCTGCGTCTCCTACGTGGTGTTGGGTCGGGCATGGCATCCTACAGCGGATCCTGGCCGAAACTTCGAAAGTAGTCCGTCAAGATTCAAAGAGAGTCAACAATGGTCCAAACATCGTCCTGAGACATTTTTAAGCATTTCTCCTGTAGAGGGACATGCTCGACTTACAACTAGCGGCAGGGCTCGACACTTTGTATCCGCGCCCCCGCTCGCGCCCTCACGCCGCGAGGAGCCAGACAACACACAGAGTGCTCCGTGGAGTGTGGGAAGCCACACGCAGAGTGCGTGTGTTTTCACACACACAGAGTGTTCTTTTGTCCACAGACCTCTTCTCCGCACGTTCCAGCGGAGCCCTTTCCGGAACGTCCTTCCAGCAATAGATCTCTTGCCCTTTACAGGCGGACCTTGGCTGAAACAGTTCAAAATACCCAAACAATGTGTGTTTTTTGGAGTATGTGAAACCACACGCAGAGTATGTTTGAATGCGTGCGTGTGTTTTCACACAGAGTGTTTGTTTCCACAGACCTCTTCTCGACACGTTCCCGCGGAGCCCTTTTCGGAACGTCCTTCCAGTGGTAGATGTTTGGCCTCCGTGGCCGCGCTGTGTGATCCAGGCCTTGCGCTCCTGGCGCCCAGCAGGGTTGGGGGCAGCAGCAGCAGCAGGGATGTGGACCGAGCGCCGATCGTCAACGTTTTTTTTGTTGGGTGGGGTGTCTCGTGGTCGGGGCCGTGAAGTCTCCCCGGATGTCGTGCCCCTTTCCTCTTCTTCCTCCTCATCCTTCTCATGCTCGTCCTCCTCCCTCCTCCCTCTTCTCCTCCTCCTCGTCCTCCTCCTTCCCCTCCTCTTCCTCCTCCTCCTCCTCTTCCTCCTCCTCCTCCTCTAATTATACGTCCCCTGGCCCCTCCTCTCGTCCGCTCACGTGCTTCTGGCCAGGATTTGCCCCGCCCCCTTCCCCCCTCCCTTCTTGGACCTCCCAGGGGGGGGGAGGTTTGTGAGGAGGAGGAGGAGGAGGAAGTGGAGGAGAAGGAAGAAAACGAGGAGGAGGAGGAGGAGGAGGAGGAGGAGGAGGACGAGGACCAGGAGGAGGAGGAGGAGGAGGAGGAGGAGGAGGAGGAGGAGGAGGAGGAGGAGGAGGCAGGAGGAGGATTCGTGACCTCACCCCCCCCTCTGACGCCCACCAGGTGATGTACGCGGAGAACGCCGCCAGCATGGCGGACTGCGCGCTCGCCGCCGTGGGCGCGGCGCGGGTGCTGCACCTGGCCCTGAGGTCTGGGGTCGGACGAACGGGGGGGGAGAGGGCGAGGGGGCAGAGGGGTAACGGGTAGTGTTCTCCTCCTCCTCCTCCTCCTCCTCCTTCCTCCTCCTCTTCCTCATGCCTCCTCCTCCTCCTCCTCCTCCTCCTCCTCCTCCCCTCGTCCTCCTCTCCCTCCTCCCTCCTCCTCCTCCTCCTTCTCCTCCTCCTCCTTTCTCCCTCTCTCTCTCTCTCTTCTCCTCCTCCTCCTCCTTCTCCTCCTCCTCCTCCTCTCCTCCTCCTTCGTCTTCCTCCTCCCTCCTCCCTCCTCCTTTCTCCTCCTCCTCCTCCTCCTCCTCCTCCTCACTCCTCCTGCTCCTCCTCCTCATTCGCCTTCTCCTCCTCCGTAGCCATTTTGGCTCAAGCCGCTCTGCGCGCGAAGCCCCGTGGTGCAAGCCGGCTGGGCATGTCCCTCCGGTCCTGTGCTGCTGGTCTCGTTCGCGCTGCTTGACGTGGATGGCGCGGGAGGGCGGAGCGTTTCTTCGCCCAGCGCGTTCCTCGGAGGCGCGCAAGGCATCTGGGGCATGGGCAAGGTGGTCAGCAGACCGCGCCGTCGCCAAGGCCATGGACGAACTCAGGCACGTTCGTGGCCAGATGGAAGCGGCGGAGCAGGTCTTGGACATGATCGTCGGTGACGTCGAGGCCTCGCAGCGCCTGCGGGCGCTACTGCCGGCCTTTCTGGCATTGTCGCGTGGGGAGGCGCCCTCCTGGCTGGACAAGCTCAGGCGGAACGTGGCCCTCCACGCCGATGCCGCGTGTGTTAATGTGGCGTCGGCGGACGCCGCTGCCCTCCGTCATGCCCAATGGGTCGCGTCTCGAGGCGCGGCAGGTCCGAGATGAGGTCGCTGGCCAACGTGCAAACCTCAGCTTCTCTGCGAACGCTGCCGTCTTCGTGCCTTCCGGCGAGTGCGGATTGGCTGCGTGCGACGCGGAGTCCGTGGTGAACAGCATCGAGAGCAGCGCCGCGGCCTCGTCGATGGGCTGGGCTGGGCTGTGTGAGGCCAGCGTCTCGCCTCACCACGTGCTCCACGACGCTGGCTCGGACACCTCTGCGGATGCACTGTCCGCGGCCCTCGCGGGGATCCGGCCGGCGGAGGCCAGGCGTCGTGGGGCGCTCTTTGCTCCTCTGGGGGCTGGGGGCCCAAATAATATACACCACCACCACGTCGATTCTTCTTCTCTCCTCTGTGCAGCGAGAGGGAGGGGGGGAGGGAGGTGGTGGTGGTGGTGTATATTTTTTGGCCTCCCATCCTCAGCCGCCCCAGGTTTCTGGGACCCGCTGGCTGGTGCCTCCGAGGACGCGAACGAGGTGGAGTCCAAAGCGACTGGTGTCTTCGAAGAGTTTGACGAGCTCGGTGCGTGCGCCGAGTGACTTCGGCCGCGGAGCAGCTACTCACAAGGTGACCCCGTTTGTAGGCTCCCTGCTCGGCTTCAAGTTTGCAGCCTCTTCAGCTTGTTCGGCGGCTGGTGCGGGACAGCCTGCGGAGAGCGCGGATCCAGTTCGTGAGAAAGAGCAGCCTGGAGTGAGGGACGGTCTCACAGGTTATACGGGTTCCTCGAAACGGATGGTAGGTTCGCGGCCTGGGCTACATGCGCCTACCCATCCTGGCAGCCCGTTTATTTTCGCACAAGAGCACCTGGATACGTGCTCAATCGCTCCCCCCGACCAGAATGCTGTTTGCAAGCAGCAGTCAAGTACACGCATCGTGGAGTGCCTTCCTCAAGGGGTGCCTGGCTGTGTACGTGGCGGCACATCCAGGAGTTCTCGCTTCCCGTGCTCTTCTTCGGCGTCATCTGCGTGTCCGTGTACCTCATCACGTTCGTGTTGAGCCGTGTGTTACGGGTTCCGCGTCGTTCCGATGTTCATTGCGCGGGAGGGCGGGCAGAGGAGCGCAATGGTAAAAATCCTTCTCCTCCTCCTCCTCATCCACCTGGCTCCTCCCTCCTCCCTCCTACTCATCCCTCCTCCTCCTTTTCCTCCTCCTCCTCCTCCTTCTCCCCCCCCTCTGCTCCCTCTCCTCCCTCTCCTCCTCGTCCTCCTCCTCTTCCTTCTCCACCCCCTCCGTCTTCTTTTTCTTCTTATTATTATTCTTCTTCTCCTGCTTCTTCTTCTTGGTCTTGATAACATGTGTCTTATTATCATTATCCTTTCTCCTCTTCCCTCCTCCTCCTCCGCCTCTTCGTCCTCCCTTTTTTCCGCGCCCTTTTGGCGTGGTCTTCTTTTTGGATCTCCTGGGATGCTCCTCGTCGCCACGTGGCTGGATCCGCTCCGACATTCTGGCCCGAACGCACCCCAGTAGAGGTCCAGTGGAGGGTGGACTAAAGAGTACACGCGTGTCTCTCCAAGACCTTGAGTTATCACAGCACGTCGGACCAAAATGTATACCTCCCCTTCCCCCTCATTCAAAGTTGACGTGTTTGGGCGGTAGGCCAAAGGCCAGGGATAACATGTGGGCATTTGGACTTTGGGTTTAGGGGGAGGGGTGCGAAGCAAGGGCATTTCGCAGTGGTGGTTGTTATCATGTTGCGTCGCCTTACCGCCATGGGTGTTGGCACTTTTTGCCCCGCCACCGAGGGAGGCGGTATCAGCATGGCGTCTCGGGTTGAAGAAGGACGAGGTTTGAGGCGTTTGGGCGTTTTCGTCGGTCTTCAGCGGCATTCCAGCCTCGAGACGCTTTGCAGCAGCTGGTCCTCGCCGAGAGCGCTCCGGGGGTGCCCGTATCTTCCCGAACGGCCGCCGGAGACCCGAGTTATGACCTTGGTCTCAGGCTGGCGACGGACGAACGAGACACCAGTGACCTCCAGTGAGCCCCATCGCTTCGGCCCCCGGCGCCATAGGTGCCCTCGAACTGAGTGGCGAATGGCGGGTTTGGTCCACGGATTCGCACGCAGAGACCGTTTGATGAGAGATTCCCACTTGCTGTCTCCCCATGATGCCCGTCTGAGGAGGAGGAGCAGGAGGAGGCGGAGACGGAGGTGGAGGCGGAGGCGGAGGCGGAGGAGGAGGAGGCGGAGAAGGAGGAGGAGGCGGAGGAGGAGGAAGAGGAGGAGGAGGAGGAGGAGGAGGGGGAGGAGGGGGAGGAGGAGCAGGAGCAGGAGCAGGAAAAGGGGGAGGATGAGGAGGAGGAGGAGGAGGAGGAGGAGGAGGAGGAGGATTTTTTCCAGTGCGCCGCTGCCAACCAAACTCCAGAGTGCAAAAGATGCAGGGGTTGCCTGGCAGGGAAAAGGAATTACGCCATCCAGCTCTTGGAGGTCTTAGATGGCGGGAGGCCCTTGCAAACCCGCTGTAAAACCTCGAGCTGGTGCTTTGTTATGGCATGCGGTCCCAGCGCGGCCACAGGACAAGGCTCCCGCAGGGAATCAGGGCGAGCTACTGCCCAAGAGCCGCATTCACCGCAAAAAGGTGAAGGCACCTTTCTGCCACAAAACGTGTGACGGGTGGACCGCCTTGCCCGCGACCCAAGGCGCAGCACACTGAGGGGGCGGGTCAAGCCTCAGGCGACGCCAGAGGGAGTCATCCCTGGCGGCCAGGGCCCGACCTGGCCTCGCCCACTTTCTTGACAGTGACCTCCTCCGCCACCACCGACTCCGAACCCCCAACTCCACCTCCTCCAAAAGCAGGGCAAGCAGAGCGGAGCCTCGCGCGGAGCGAGGGGGCAACATCGGAGATCGAAGCCTTGCACATCCCACAAGTCCAAACGCCAGAACCGAACTCCCAAACGTGCGACGAACCCCTCACATCAGCTTCGATCCACCGACGCCTGCGGAGCACAAGATCAATGGGCTGCCTGCGCAGCCTGCGCTCCGGCTCGGCCTTGAGGGCAGCGCACTCGAGAATGATAGAGGCATTACGCTTGAGGATGGCACAAGCATTGGCGACGAGCTCATTATAAGCCTGAACAACTCCATTCGGGACCTGGCTATCCCTAGCACGCAGGTCAGCAAGCTCATCAGCGACAGAGTTGAGCACAACCTGGTCCCAGTCAACAGAGTCGCCAAAACGGGCGAGCTTTTGGGGATCCTCCAGCAGGTGGCTGGGAACATGAAAAAGCTGGAAGTCCCCAGATCGCTCCGAGAGGAGCTGCCAGAATTCCCACCAGAGATCAAAATTAGCCAGCCTCGCAGAGGCCGCTCGGCCGGCCAGGAAACCATTGACAATATTGGCATGGTCGGTGACCACGCGCAGATCTTGGGCAGGGCCAACGCAACGAAGGCACCCAATAAAGGCCGCAAGTTCTGCGCGGGGAACCGTCTGTCGAACCGAGTCGAGTGCACTTTTGACTCCACAATCCCAATCAAAGTCATCGCTAGGACGGAGCCGCACAAAAGGCAAAGGCAACTCGTCGGAGGACAGGAAACTTGGCAAACTGCCCTCCCGTGCCATCAGTGGCATAGAGGCCTCCTGGCAGACAGCCTGGAAACAAGGCCCCAGGACAACGCCACCCCTGGAGGTCCCTGGAATCAGGCACAGGAGGGAGGTTGAACCAGGCAAAAGGAATAAGTCCTCGCATCCAGAAGCACGGGTACTGGAAAGCCTTCTGCTGGGCGCCGTGCCTAAGGTGCTGAGAGTCAACAATCTCCTGGACCTGCGACGAAGCATTACACATGCACTCCCAAAACCTATGGCAGGAGGTCTCGGGGTCACGCTGGCAACGCCGACAAATAGGATCAGGAGCCAACTGGGCCTTGTGCCTGCTCTCCTCAGTCCAATAGCCTCCAGAGACCAAGAGCCGAATCTAAGCCGCGAGGTCCCGACGCCCATCCTTCTCGAGGGAGGCAATAAGTTCCCAGACATGATGAAGAGAGACAGGCCCTTGGATTCCAGCGCCATCCAGGTGCTCGGAAGCCTGGCGCCACTGAAGCGTGTCGATCGATTCGTCAACAGCCTCAAGAAGAGGGCCTAGCGGGCCGTGCCCGTCCCCCATCAGCTGCCACTCGTCACCACAAGGCGCGATGAGAGTGAAAGGTGAGGGGCGCTGCCATCCTACCGCCAAAATCGTGGCTTGAAAGGCCGCCATCGGACCACGGACCCAGGACCACCCTTTTCGGACCTTGGCCAAAGAGGCCGCCCAGAGACGGGCCAGGCGACGGTGGAGCCCTGGGCGGCCCGCGAGACGAGCAAACCACGACTTGACGACGCGGCGAACGTACACCTGGAGGGGGTCCTGGCCATAGCCGCAAGTGAGACAGATAGCGGTAGTGGCACACACTCCTCGCTGAGGGGTCTTGCTGGCAGCACGAGCCATGCTGCGAAGGCCTTTGAGCATGGGGGGGGAGACACCGTGAATCTCTGGCGCCCACATGGCCTTCGCATAAGCATTAGGATAGAACAACTTACTGGCTTGCTCGCGCGTGCGCCCAAACATGAAAATCTTACTAGTGGCATCCCGCCCCTTGGTAAAGCGGGACTTCCTGACGGCCACAGTCCTCTTGGCGCCCAGAGCGGCGTCGTGCCCCAAGTCCCTTGCAGCCGGAGCCGCCGAGAACTCGCAGCCCTCACGGGCGGCGATCCTGGAAAGCTCAGCCCCAAGGTTACGTGTGCAAAGTCAGAGCCTGAATTTAGTCATCAACCTCGCCCTTCTCTTGGCGTGATCAACCGGAGAACTATCTTTCTCTCCGCTTCTGCTCCTCGGTGCGCCGCTCGCGCTCCCCTCCGGCTCTTATCCTTCGCCCCCCTTCTCTATCCTTAGCCGCTCCCTGCTCCAATTGTCCGTCATTCGCTTGGCTCCGGAGGTGGCCCTCGAGGCTTTGGCATCGGACTTCCCCTCCTCTCTTCTTCGCCCCCCCCCCCTGCGCGACTGTCCAGACCGTTGCGCCTCCCGCTAAAAATTCGCGAGAGCCCGGGCCCCCCGCGACGAATTCGCGAGAGTCCCGCGAAAGATTTGCGGGAACCCTTCGCGCCGTGCACTGTCCTCCCAGGCGCCCCCCCGGGCTACCTCGCCCCCGTGGGACACCCTTGGGCGATGCGCGAGGGTTGGTCCCGCGCGAGACCACCCCGGGCGACGTGCGCAGGCACTGAGTGGCGGAGACCCCCCCGGGCGATTCCACCGCTCGGACCGACCCCGCCAGGGCGAGTCGGCCCGTCCTGGAACCCCCCCCAGGCGATCCAGGACCCCCCGCGCCCTCCCAGGCGAGCGGGGGCGCTTGCGGGAAAAGCCCACGCCTGAGTTCCCCCTTTTAAGGGAATCTTGGCGGGGGCGATCCGCGCCGGGGCGGCAGTCGAACCCTCCTGGGCGATCGACCGCGGCAGATTCCTCCCGCGCCAAAAAACAACAAAAAAAAAACACACAAAAACCAACACACAACAAACACAAAAAAACACAACACAAAACAACAACACAAAAAAACACCGGGCGGAACATAAAAAAACAC